AACTCAGCATCTACCAAGCAAGTGTCCCCTGTGTCACCCTACTGCACATCCTGGTGAGCAATAATTAAACTAATAGCATCTGGTCTACCTTGAGGATGGACCCCATTCTATTCAGTTCCTGGACATCCTTCCTTCTAACAACCATTTCCCTGCACCATTTCCCTCCCATATCAAACCCAGCTGTTGTCATCACTAGGAACTGCACAATTTCTGAAATGTCAGTGCTGACAATTCCTTCCTGCTCACCAAAGACCTCTTCATAGTTATTCGTCACTCCTTCAACCAGCCACACTATTGTTCATGGAGACTATGTTCAATGACCCCACCACTGTTTTAACGACAAAGTGCCCCTTCAGCCTTCATTTTCTTCCTTACCCTCCTTAGATTCCCCTGTCTATTGTTATAACCTTCCCCTTGCATATAGCCCAGAGCTTTGTCTTTCTCTGTTTATCACTTTCATCCCCCAGAACTTCAGCCTAATCATGTGCCCTCTCTATTCCTGTATCAGAGTTCTTGAAGTTTGCTGAGAAATTCTAAGTCTAGGATGAAGGGGGACCCACCGCCATTGAGTGCATTCCAACTCTTAGAAATGCTAACTAGGTTTCCAAGTCTATAAATCTTCACAGGAGCAATTATCCTCTTCTTTCTCCTGCCTCATGGCTGGTGGGTTTGGACTGCCAAACGGGGCTATCTGTCCAGTGCTTGCCCACCAGTGCCACCAGGGCTCCTCAGGATAAAGAGAACATCTTTAAATTCATGACCACTGCACTGAAAGGGAAAATAGCACCCAATACTAAAACCAACAACCCCACCTTTCTTTCCTCTGGTCTTTGCTTCACTGAGAAAGCAGAAATCATGAGAGAGGAGCTTTGCTATTGGCTCATCGGCCAGTCTACCTTATCTACCTCCACCTGAACCCTTCTGGTCAGCTTTCTTCCCTATACCCTTGGGACCAGGGCTGTGCCCTTCTCAGAGGCACATCCCTGCCCTCCCATCTTCTCAATCATTATTTCTGATTGCTCTCTTCTGCATCTTCAAAATCTTTCTTTACATAAAATCACTCCCTTCAAAAGGCAAATATCTTCCACCGTAAATAAACCATGCAGCTCCATATTCTCCTCCAGTTAGTCTCCATTTGTTCTGCGTCCCTCTGGAGAGGTGCTTCTCAGCCTGTGGGTCGTGACCCTTTGGGGGTTGAATGACCCTTTCACAGGGGCCGCCCGATTCATAACAGTAGCAAAATTACAGTTATGAAGTAGCAACGAAAATAATTGTATGGTTGGGGGGGTCACCCCAACATGAGGAACTGTATTAGAGGGTTATGACATTAGGAAGGTTGAGATCCACTGCTCTACAGCAAACTTTCTGATTTCTTCCCCTCAACCTAGTCCATTCAGATATCCAGACCGACCTCTCTAACTTTTGTCAGTCAATAAATGTCTTCCATGTCACAAATCCATGACCTGTTTCCACCCTTAAACTCTCAACAGCATACAATATAATTGAGCATCCCCTCCTTTTCAAAAAAATGCCTCCTCTGGCATTTGTGATTCTACTCTCTGATCGCCCTTCATTGCATGGGCCATTCTTGCCTAGCCTCCTTTGCTAGTGTCTCCTCCACTACCCAGCCCCGGATTATCAGAAGGCTTGTGGGTGGTGCCCTTCACTGTGAACTCTATTTCTAGGTGATCTCCATCCAAGCCCAGGGCGTTCATTCTACTTACATGGTAATGGCTCCATAGTCATGCCTCCTCCCTAATCTCTTCCTCATAACACTAGAGGTTACCATCTATCTATAATAAAAGGCCTTTAATAAGCACCCCCTACTCCTAAAGACCTCCCTACAGACATTGAGTTGATCCTAAGTCACAACAACCCAACAGAAGGTTCTAAGGCTCTAAACTTTTACCAGAGCAGACAGTCTCCTCATTCTTCTGCAAAATGGCAGGCAGGTTTGAATCACTGACCTTGCTGTCAGTAGTCAAATGCTTACCCAACAGTGCCATCAGGATTCCCTCCAAACAGGGGTGTTGAAGACATAAACCCACACGGAGAGACTTCATCCTCACTAGGCGCCCCCAGTCCAATAAAAAGCACCCATCTCTTCAGTTGCTCAAACCAAAACATTCTCCTTTCCTCATTCTCCATAGCCAAATCATCAGTACATCCTAGGTCCCTGAATCGTCATGATTCCATTTGTTATTCTTCATTTCCACTCCCCACGCTTCCCGGATTTATCATTCACCTCGGCTCCTGCCAATGCCTTTATCCTTGTCGCCTACACTCCCTTCTCTGCTTGGTGGAATGATTACTTGAAAAGCTGCATTAGGTGTTTTCGCTTGACAGTTTAACACCTTTTCTAGTAGCTTTGGAAAACTACATCCAAACTCAAGGTCCCAAACTATCTATCTCCTCCCAGTCTTTCCAATCTCATCTTAACACAGTCTCTCTTATTCACTATGCTTCAGCAGAGCAGCTTACCTCTGTTCTTCAAATTCCCCCAAATGTTTCCAGCGTGGGGCTTTTCCCCTCCATTTCTTTCATTGAAGTACTCTTGGTCCTTTTAATGGTTGACTCTTACATCATTCTTGAGAGATGATTGAAAACGCAGCCCGTCTTCAAATTGGTAAGGTTAGCAATTCTTCATTGAATGCTTTCCAGGATTATTATTTTCTGCTCTACCTTGCTTTGCTTTGTAAATTCCTCACATGACCATAAAATAGATAATTTGTCATACCTACCTTGCAAAATAGGAAATTGAGGCCAAAGAAGAATGATTGTCACTAAAAAAAGTCTGTAGGAAGTGGTTTCATGATTTAATCGCAATCCATGACACTATCCTGCCTCTCTCCCATTGCCTGTGTGTCTCCTTTTAGCACTGCTTAAAATCTATAATTTTCTTGTTTAATTAAATACGGTCAGTTTTCCCATTAGAATGCCAGGATAAGTTAGAAAGTATTGTTACATTCAATACATTCAAGCTCATGCATTGAAGGGTTTATTGCAAACAAAATAGGTTTAACTGTGTCTCTATGGTCAGAAGATAGCTGCAGACAAGTTCCCTCAATAATGGACGCTTCTTTAAAAAAAAATGTCCATCAAGAACAGTGATTTACTTGGCATTCTATGCTGCTCACCTTCCCCACATAACCGCTGAGGAAAAAGCGGGTGAATAAGCAAATGTGGTGAAGAAAGCTGATGGTGCCCGGCTATCAAAAGATATAGCATCTGGGGTCTTAAAAGCTTGAAGGTAAACAAGC